GCCGGCACCGCGTCTGCTGACGTCAGGCTTCGGCAGCCTCTTTGATGACGTGCAACGGCTCAAAGGTGGCGACCTCCTGAGAATTTGCAGGGTTTTTAAAAGATATTTTTGCCTTAGGGCACATGCACTCATGAAAGAGAGAGAAAGACAGGAGGAGACAGAAAGAGACAGACACAGAGAGACAGAAAGTAAGAAATCACCCCCAGTGGGATGGCCACCCTGCCATCTTTCTCCTCCATTCTCCTCCTGGGATCTCGGGCACGCACACACACGCACCCGGCGCGATTGTCAAGCCACCGGGTCTGGGACTCGAACTGCGGTTGGCCACCTGCGAGACCCGTGACGTAACTGCTATGCCGTTGGCTGCTCCCTGATTGTGACCCGAGGAGGGCATGCCTCCGTGGGGTGGAGCGTAGGAAGTGACTTCAGTTCAGAAACGCTCCTGGGAGCTCCAGGGTCCGGCAGAACGTCTGGGCGGGTGTGGGCTTTCGCAATGACCCTGATGCAAGGGCAGATGGGGCCGCCACGGGGCTGGAAATGCAGCTGGCGTGTGTGTGGCGTAGGGCAAGTCAAAAGGGCTCGAGCAAGAGGGGACTTCGGGGAGCTCTGAGTACATGCTGACGCCCGGGAAAATTCACTGTGGAATTCTGCAGGGGCTGGGGTTGAGCCGCGGTCACTTTCAGAGGTTGGCTCAGCAGGAGGAGAAGGACAAGGCTGTCCCCAGACCTGCGGGGAGACCTGCAGACAGCGCAGCGGTATGACCAGCGCTCACGAGGCTGGCTGGGGCATGCAGGGGTCCGGCCGACGGCAGCGTCCCTTCCCTTGTGGAAGAAAAAACGTGCAGATTTGCACACGGCAGCTGGCGTGTGTGTGGCGTAGGGCAAGTCGAAAGGGCTCGAGCAAGAGGGGACTTTGGGGAGATCTGAGTACATGCAGACGCCCGGGAAAATTCACTGTGGAATTCTGCAGGGGCTGGGGTTGAGCCGCGGTCACTCTCAGAGGTTGGCTCAGCAGGAGGAGAAGGGCAAGGCCGTCCCTAGACCTGCGGGGAGACCTGCAGACAGCGCAGCGGTATGACCAGCGCTCACGAGGCTGGCTGGGGCATGCAGGGGTCCGGCCAACGACAGCGTCCCTTCCCTTGTGGAAGAAAAACGTGCAGATTTGCACACACAGTGCCAAATGAGAACATGGGCTCCTTGTTCAAACCTCATTGAGAACTTCAAGGTGGGGGACCAGCAGGGGGCGTGGTGGTTAAGGTGCTGGACACTCCCACATGGTCGACCATGGTTCGAGTCCTAGACCTGGTGGCTTGCTTTCTCGCTTCCTCTCTCTCTCTCTTTCTGGTAAAATTAAAATGAATGAATGAGTGGATAAAATTAAATAATCTTTTAAAAAGAAAAAGAAGGACTTCAAGGTGATTGTCACCAACAGAGCTCGGAACCCATATGGCGCCCTTCGGAGTCTGGGACTCTGGGTGACTGTGTGGGACACACGTCCATGACAGCTTGCATGTGTGTAACAGCAGTTCCTCCTTCCACAGTTCCCCAGCTTCCCAGAAGTGGGACACTTGTTCTCTGACCCCCTTACCTCGGTCTCCTGCAAGGGTGTCCCAGGTTGGATCTTGTCACTCAAAAAGATCTGGCCAAGTTCAAATCCCCGGTCACAGTGAATACGTCCTTCCTTGCAAAACGAGTCTTCCCAGATGTAGTGAAGAATCTTGAGGGGCCAGCTGGTGGCATGATGGATGAGGCGCTGGACTCCCACATGGCCGACTGCAGTTCGAGTCCCGGACCTGGCAGCTTGCTTTCTCACTTTCCCTCCCTCTCTCTTTCTCTTTCTCTCTCTCTGGCAAGTGCAAGTGCCCTATGGCAAATTGAAGAATGACAATGGTAATAAATAAAACGAACAACGCTTATTTATTTAGTTCAAAAACAGGCTCTGGAAATGACATCATCGGGGATTATCCAGGGGGACTTTAAATCCAAGGATGAGTGTCCTGATTCAAAGAGACAGGAAAATGCACCACGGGGAAAGGCTAGAGACCACAGAAGGGGAAGCAAAACTTGGAGTGATGTCACCACACGCCTCAGGATGCCTGAAGCCACCGAAAGCCAGAAGAGGCGGGAAGGTCTCTCTCTGGGAGCCTCCAGAGCCTCAGGGTCCTGCTCACGCCTTGAGCTCAGACGTGGTAGAGGGCGCGTGCCCGTTGTGCTGAGCCCGCGGTGTTCAGGGTGACTTTCTGCATCTACCCTGGGAGGAGGCCCCGGGCACACTCCACAGCGGGCTGTCAGCATGAGCAGGGGCAGCCAGCGAGGCCAGCTGTTCCACCGCTCTGCACTGTCAGGGGGCCAGCTAGCACGAGGGCGGTCAGCTTCTGAGCTCTCAGGGTTTACGCACCCCCCAACCCCTGGCAAGACCGCCTTCCTCCTGGGTGTCCCGCAGCCCTGGGAGCATCCTCCGGCCCGTGGGGAAGGACCGTGGTGTGCTCGTCTACACAGACATCCTGCACGGGGTCTGAGGGCTTCTGCGGAAGGTGGCCGACTCTTCCCATGCCACAGGTCCAACCTGAGCCCAATCTCTATGGAGACTGGTAAAAGACTGTCTTCCCGGAGGTTCCTCATGCATAATACAGGAACTGGGAGCAGCAGGAGGCATAGTGGTTACATCGCTGGACTCCCACATGGCTGACCACGGTTCGAGTCCCAGACCCGGTGGCTTGAAACTCACACCAGGCACATGTGCGTGCGTGCCCAAAATCCTGAGAGGAGAATGGAGGAGAAGGGATTGCAATGTGGCCATCCCCCCACAGGGGGTCATTTCTCACTTTCCCTCTCACTGTCTCTGTCTCTCTCTCTCTTCCTGGTGAGAACATGAGCCCTATGGCAAAAAAAAAAACTCTCCAAACAACAAAAAAAATTATAATACGGGAATTGAAATCTACACACAGTGCTCGAGTGAGGCCAGGAGTCCCCAGCCCATGGTCCAGAGTCGAGATCTGGACCCACGCCCCCGTTTTCCTAACTGAAGTTTTACTGGAACACAGATAGCTAGTCTACAGGCGAAGTTGGGTGTTGCAAGACAGACTGCCAGCTCATTGAGAGAAGAAGTTTGTAACTGGCTACTTGCAAAAAGTTCACTGACCCTGGACTCTACCAATGTTAATATACGTCATCCATGTCGGGGACCGGCAGGTGCATGGTGGTTAAGGTGCTGGACACTTCCACATGGCTGAGGATGGTTCAAGTCCTGGACCAGGTGGCTTGCTTTCTCACGTTCCTTCTCTCTCTCGCTCTGGTCAAATTAAAATAAATGAATGAGTAAATAAAATTATATATATATATATATATGTATGTCCTCGATGTCATGTTCTGTGTATGTCCCTACCTGCACCTGCAGACACAGCTCTGTCATCTCTCAAAGTAGCAGCCTATGACTCGATTTCAATATGTCATCTATCGATCTATTATCTACCTACCGATTGCTATCTTTTTACATTTTTATAACAACTATTTATTTTACTCTTCTTTTTCTTCAATTTGACCACAGAGAGAAAGAGAAGATCGGAGCCAGAGGGAGAGTGAGAAAGCAAGCCACCAGATCCAGGGCTTGAACCGCAGTTGGCCACATGACAGAAAGTATCATCCCCCCCCCCAGGGGGGATGGCCATGTCTCAATCTCTTCTCCTCCATTCTCCTCTTGGGATCTTGGACACATATGCACACATGCCCGGTGTGAGTTTCAATCCTCCGGGTCTGGGACTGGAACCATGGTTGGCCACATGGGAGTCCAGTGCCTAACCACCCAATCCACCTATCTATCTACTATATTGCATATCTACGTACCCAGTGAAACAACGACAGCCCTCAGACTCTAGGTATTAAATTCCCTTGGGAACAATAGATGACCGAATGAGTGAGTGAGTGGGTGAATGAATGAATGCTAAATGGTGTCTGCCATACAACCCCGTAGAATGTTCTCCGGATTCTCTTCTTCTGAAGCGACAAAGAACAGTGGAAGTGGACATTCCATGCTACTTAGAAGTAGTGTCTGGGAACCGGCCGATGGCATGGTTACGTCACTGGCCTCCCACGTAGTTGACTGTGGTTCGAATCCTGGACATGCCGTGTGTGTGTGTGCCCAAAATGCAGAGAGGAGAGTGGAGGAAAAGAGATTGCGGGGTGGCCATCCCTTTGCGGGGAACGGGGTGATTTCTTGGTTTCTGTCTCTGTGGTGAGTGCACATCCCCGATAGCAAAAATCTCTCTCTCTCAAAAAAGATGCAGGTTTGTTTGGAAAAGGGCCATGTCTCAGAGGCACGGTACGCAAGGATTCAGGCCAGTGTTCACAGGTCTGTGAGCAGAATCATTTGGCCATGGGGCACATGTGTTCACCAGAGAGACAGAGAGAGAAGGAAAGCAAGAAATCCCTCCCCAAAGGACATGGTCACCCCGCAATCCCTTCTCCTCCATTCTCCTCTCGGGATCTTGGGCATGCACACACACGTGCCCGGTGTGAGTTTAAGCCACCGGGTCTGGGACTCGAACCGTGGTCTACTACATGGGAGTCCAGCGACACTGCAGCGACACCCCCACTCCGCCAACTGCTGGTCCCAACATTCTGGGTTTTTTTTTTTAAGAGATTTTGCTATAGGGCACGTGTGCTCACTGGAGAGACAGAGAGAGAGATGGAGGGAGACAGCAAGTGAGAAATCACTCCCCTGGGGGAATGGCCACACCACAATCCCTTCTCCTCCATCCTCCTCTCGGGAGTTTGGGCACACAAACACACGTACCCGGCGTGAGTTTAAGCCACCGGCTCCGGGACTCGAACCATGGTTCACCATATGGGAGTCCAGTAACCTCTACGCCATCTGCTGGCCCCTCTTCCCGTGTACCCTTGGCAGAGAGGGGAAGAAGGTCTGAAGGGTCAACCCAGGCTGGCTGGTCTGATGGGAGAGGACACGCCCCAGCAGGGACTTCCTTGGGATCAGAGGAAGGTTTCCACCTGAAAGGAGGGAAGACAGGATGGTTCGATCTTACTCATCTTAGTGCAGACGGCCAACTCCCCCAGAGATATCGAACAGCCTGGGTGTAAAAGACCCCCGCCCTCAGCTGCTGTGTCCGGACCACCTCAATCTCACCACCTTAAACCCTTTCCTCTGTGGCTGGGCGCATGGTTGGGTCCTGGACCCAGCAGATTGAAATACACACAGGGTGTGTGTGTGCATGTACCCAAAATCCAAAGAGGAGAATAGAGAAGCGTGTCCCATGGGGGGTGCTTTCTCACCTTCCTACTCTCTCTGTCTCTATTTCTCTTTCTCTTGGATGAGCACACAGACCCTATCATAAATTAGAAACACACGCAAACACTCACAATAATTTTCTTTTTAAAGAAAAGTCATCTGGAGGCCAGCGGGTGGCATGGAGGTTAAGGTGTTGGACTCTCGCCTGGCCGACCACAGTTCAGACCTGGTGGCTTGCTTGCTCACGGTCCCTGTCTCTTTCCATCTTTCTCTCTCTGTCTCTCTCTGGTGAGTGTGTGTGCTCTGTAGCAAATTAAAATAATCTGAGACCAGCAGTTGGCATAATGGCTATGTCACTGGACTCCCACGTAGTTGACTATGGTTGGAGTCCCGGACCTGGGGGCTTAAACTCACGCCAGGCGCATGTGCATGCATGCCCAAGATCCCGAGAGGAGAATGGAGAAGAAGGGATTGCGGCGTGGCCATCCTCCCGTGGAGGTGATTTCTCTGTATCTCTCCATCTCTCTGTCTCTCCAGTAAGCACACACGCCCTATAGCAAAAATCTCTCTAAAAATGAATAAATAAGTAAAATAAATAATTCTTTAAAAGAAAAAGTGAACCGGGCATAGCATGACACCGCTAACCCCCAGACAGCACGTCCATGTCACATGCAAGGTCTACGCTGCTCCTACCTGGCCGGTCTGTGTCACGCAAGAAAAAGCAACATATGTAGGCAAGAAGATTTACTGAGTCAAGGCACCTGGGACAACTTGGCACTTTGGGATCACAAGATTGGTGGCCAAGGACCACCAGGGGGTGGTCAAGCCCAAACTTCTTCTGAGTCTTGAGTTGGCAGTCAACGGGCGACTCGAGGGAGAGCCCGCAGGGCAGGAGGCTGCTTGAACTGCCAACACGGTGGCCATTGTAGACCATGAGCAGGTGGTGCACACGAAGCCTTCCGGGGTAGCTGCTATCTCGAGAGGAGGTCATGGGTCACATCGAGGACCCCCGTCATTTGACAGCTTTTTGCCCACAGCTGTTCCTGCAGCTTCCGGTCGTAGGTGATCTTCAGGGATTTGGTCTCTTTCTCATTGTAGAGGTAGCGGCCGCCCCGTCCTTCCAGCTCGGGAGTTACAGCCGCATAAATGGAAGTCCAGGCGCCTTCATCGGGGGTCTGCAGCGAGGAGGAGAGAATACCAGGGATGTGTCAGTTCTCGGAGCGGAGCCCGCGATTCCCAGACTGCAGATGGATTCTGCTACTGGATATCTGTCCAAAGGATAACAAAACCCTCTCACTGTCTCTCTGTCTCTCCAGTGAGCACACGTGCCCTATAGCAAAAAAACCCTTTCTTTCAAAAAGAGAAAACCCTCTGGGCCAACAGGTGGTTTAGTGGTTGGGGAATTGGACTCCCACATGGTTGACTATGGTTCAAATATTGGACCCAGTGACTTGAAACTCACACCAGGCCCATGTGTACTTGTTCCCAAAATCCTGAAAGGAGAACAGAGGAGAAGTTATGGCAGTGTGGCCATCCCCTCAGGGGGTGATTTTTCACTTTCCCTCTCACCATCTCTCTGGAAAGCACACACGCCCTATAGCAAAAAACTCTTTCTCAAAAAAAAAAAAAAAGAAAAAAAACAACAAAAAACAAACAAACAAAAAAAAACACCCACCATTGGAAAAATGCTTGGAAGTCCAAGTTTATTGCAGCATTATTCCTAATGTGGAATTAACCCAAATGTCCAAGAACAGATGACTGGATTGAAAAACTGTGGCACGTATACACTGCATTTTTCTCCTCAGCCACAAAGAACAATGAGACCCTGGCATTTGATACAAAGTGGATGAAGAGTGAAGATTTACTGTTGAGTGAAGCAAGCCAGGCTATGAAAGAGAAGCACTGTATGTCCCCATTCAATATAGGCTGAACGTCGGCACTCCATGGCAGACCCTGAAAGACTGGACGGTGTAGTCAATTGCAGGGAGGGTAGTGTGGATACCAGAGACAGTGTGGGAGGGGGAGATTAATAGGAAGTTGGGAGATAGGCAGTCACAGGGCAGAAAAACATTTAAGAGAAACAAAAATGGAAAGTTACCAGTTTTCTGACTTGACTAACATGCACTATGTCCATGCTGGGAAAAAAAAAAAACCCACATTGTATGCTGTATAGATGTACAATGATTAACTATCAACTTTAAATAATTATTTATTTAATTTTTACTTAGTCTTTCATTTATTTTAATTTGACCAGAGAGGGAGAGAGAAAGTGAGAAAGCAAGCCACCAGGCCCAGGACTCAAACTGTGGTCAGCCATGTGGGAGTGTCTAGCGCCTTAACCACCACATCAACTGCTGGTCCCCTTCACTATAAATTTTTTTAAAATTTAAAAATAAGGGACCAAAAGATGGCATAATGGTTACTTCACTGGACTCCCACATATTCAACCGTGGTTCAAGCCCTAAACCTGGTAACTTAAAACTCACACCAGTGACATGTGCGTGCATGGCCAAAATCCTGAGAGGAGAATGGAGGAGGGATCGCGGTGTGGTCATCACCCCAGGGGTGATTTTTCACTTTGTGTCTCTCCATCTCTCTGTCTTTCCAGCAAAAATCTCTCTAAATTTTTTTTTAAAAATAAAAATAAATATAAGAAAAGAACACATGCAGATGCTGTTGCATAAATCAGAACACACACTTTGGCTGTGTGGATAAGCACCTGCAGAAACAAGACTGAAAAACCTACCCCAGCCGGAGCGCCCCTGACTGTTGGATTTCCTTTCAATAGGTGCTCGCAGTAAATACTAAATAGCACGCACCCCGCACACACCCCGGCGGGTTGCATTTCCATGGCAGGTGTGTGCATTTTGATAGGCAGATGCGTAGGAAAATCCCTGGTGTACGCCCTCTCCCCACCGACTCTTTATCAACCCGAAACGCTTATTAATTGACGTGAAGGCGCTAAGCGAGTGAGCAGCCTCCTTGTGTCATAAACAATATTTAGCAATTAGAGGAAACATCGGGACGTCAAAAGCCTCTTGGTTTGGATTCAGCCAGCCGAGGTACAGGGGAGAACTGAAGCGTTCACAGACTACAATGATGGCATACCTAGGGGAAGCCAACGCTTCAAAGAGGGACTTGAAACACAGAGAAAGGGTTTCAAAGAAGGGACGTCACCCAAACGGAAGGCAAGAACCTGGACAAAGAACGCACCCTGCTCTCCTACGGTGGGAAGTGGCCCTTAGATGTGAGCGTGGTCATGGCGTCGTGGGCAAGTAGAACACTAAGGAGTTGGAACTGAAAGGTCTTTTTTCATGTAAGGTTTTTGCTATAGGAGGGTGGGCTCACTACAGAGAAATAGAGAGACACAGAGAGACACAGAGAGAGACAGAGAGACAGAGAGAGAAAAAGTGAGCAATCACCACCCAACTCCCAGAGGGATGGCCACACTGCAATCCCTTCTCCTCCATTCTCCTCCTGGGATTTTGGGCATGCATGCACATGCTCCCAGCATGGTTTTCAAGCCACTGGATCTCAGACTCAAACTGGGGTTGGCCACGTGGGAGTCCACCACCCTAACCACTATGCCACCTGCTGGCCCCAGCACTGAAGGGTCTTAAGGACTTGGACTCAGTAATCTAGAAACCAACAGAATTCCATCCTAGCTGCCTACCATCATGATAAAGACTTTCCAGGATATCTTCTCGTGTGATAAACCTTGAATAACCCATTCAATGCATCCTCCCCCTATGACCCTGAAGGTCCAGAACTGTAGGACTACTGGGAAAATTCCCAGGTCAAGAATTTTTTTTCCCATATTTTTTGACATTTAATTGCTGTACACCTTTACAGCATACAAAATTATTTTTCCTAGCCAGAATATATAGTATATTAGTTCAGTCAAATTTATTACTATGCATGGACCATCAGTTAGTGTAATGGCTGTCACTGGACTCCCACATAGTCGACCGCGGTTCACGTTCTGGACCCGGCGGCTTAAACTCACGCCGGGCACGTGTGAGTGTGTGCCCAAGATCCCAAGAGGAGAATGGAGGAGAAGGGATTGTGGCATGACCATCCCCCCTGGGGGGGTGATTTCTCTCCTTATATCTCTGTCTCTCTCTGTCTGGAGAGCACATGTGCCCTATAGCAAAAACCTCTCCAAAAAAGAAAAAAAAAGATATTACTATGCACATTATACTCAACAGATAATTTTCCATTTTTGTGTCCCTTAGATGTTGTTTTGTGTTGCTGTTTTTTTGTCCCTTGATTCCCCCTCTCCTGCCCCCATCTCCTGCCCTCCTCCCACTCTGTCTCTGGCACCCACAATGGCTCTCCATGCCTTTACAACTTCCAGTCTTTTAGTGTCTCCCATGGAGTGCAGATGTTGGGTATATTGTAACTGAGGACATACAGTGCCTCTCTTTCATAGTAACTGGGGACATACAGTGCCTCTCTTTCATAGTAACTGGGGACATACAGTGCCTCTCTTTCAACGTAACTGGGGACATACAATGCTTCTCTTTCATAATCTGCCTTGCTTCACTTAGGAGTGCAATAGCAGATTTTAAATCTGTAGAACCATCTCACTAGCTAAAAGCTGTGATTTCAGGGACCAGCATATGGCATCCTAGCTAAAAGCTGTGATTTCAGGGACCAGCAGATGGCATCATGGTTGCATGACTAGACTCCCACATAGTCAACCATGGTTCAAGTCCTGGACCCGGCAGCTTGAGATTCTCACTGGGCGTGTGTGTGTATGTGTGTGTGTGTGTGTGTGTGTGGCCAAAATCCCAAGAAGAAAATGTGGGAGAAGAGATTGTGGCATGGCCATCCCCCCGGGGGGGGGGTGATTTCTTGCTTTTTATCTCTCTGTCTCTCTGATGAGCACAGATGCCCTATAGCAAAAACCTCTCTGGGGCCAGCAGATGGCATGGTGGCCACCTCTCTCTGGTCAAATTAAATAAATGAGTGAATACATGCAATAAATAGTTCTTGAAAAAGAATGATTTATTTATTTTTATTTTTTAAATTATGATTACTATTATTTAAAAGGTTTTGCTACAGGGCAGGCATGCTCACCAAGGATAGAGGTAAAAGCAGAGAAAGGGAAAGTGAGAAAGTAAGCCACCAGGTCCGGGACTCCAACCATGGCTGGCCATGTAGGAGTCCAGCACCTCAACCACCACGCCCCCTGCCAGCCCCGAGGACAGGGAATCTTTGAAGGCCTGAAGGCCCACCGAGGACCCTGGAGAGAGAACCCTGTGTGTAGAGCAAAGTGTGCGTGAAGGCATTTGTGAGGCTGGGCAGCCTGGGAGCCGAAGGCCACGGAGCCATTTCAATTCACTTCAGCGCAAGACACGCTTAGGAAATGCTCCCCATGTTTCCATGGCTCTTGGGGACAAAGATTTAAATTCAAAAAGTGACCCTTGCCAACCGCCCTGGTATGTACAACAGGCAGGGGCGGAGGGTCATTGTTCGGGTATAAACTCATTAAAAACAAACAAACGAACAAAAAAACAACCTGCAAAGCACTCAGAATAAGACAGGAGAGGGACGACTACACAGTTCAAGTCCCGGATCTGGCAGCTGGAAAAATCATGCCAGGCGTGTGTGCATGTGTGCCTTAAATCCTGAGAGGAGAGTGGAGAAGGGGTTATGGGCATGGCCATCCCCCCAGGGGAGTGATTTCTCTCTCTCTCTCTCCAGAGAGTGCGCTTCTATAGCAAAAAACAGAACACAACAAAGAGATCTCCCATCACATTTATGTCGTTTCCATAGTCACAAATATTCTCCTGTGATATCGTTTTGAAGTGTCCGACGTTTTCTCCTCCCCTGTATTAAGGCACCAGGGCATGAACAACGCCTTGTGGCTGATAACCATCAAAGGATTAAAAAATGACTCAGGTGCTGAACGTTCTGTTTAGGGTTCTCAATGCTGAAGAGAAATACAAAAAGGCAGTAGGTATTCCCTGTGGGGGCAGAAGCCATGCACGGGGCTCCTGGTGACATAGGAACTTACGTGCAGGCGTTGGGGGGGTTTGGTGCAAGGATTTCCCATCTGAAAACATATATTTGAAAATTCTTTT